TTAACTTATAATTGCTTTTCTGCGAGTACTAGAGCATAAAGGAAGATTAAAAGCTTATAGACAGTCCGTAATTATTCGGTAGACACAAAAGTTCAATTGCAAAGCAAGAGTTTAACCAATTACATAAAATAAAAAGAACCATAATAATTACGGTGGCCATAAAGTAGTACGCGACTCAGCTCATTTTTAGTGAAAATATAATCTACTATAACTCAGAAGGAGATTAGTGAGTGAAAAATCATGGTTCATACGCCGACCTTCTGCCGCGTCTAAGTCTGATGCATGCATGTAGTTCACGAGATGTTTGCTGTCTAATTTAATTTATATTTATTATACGGATTATAATAAGTTCGTCCAACTGAAGAAAATTTAACAATGTTCATAATAAATGTTTATGAACATTTCGTACTCTGAATTCATTGACGTTGGTAGATTTTGTTCAATAGACGCGACAAAAGATCGACGTCTGAACCGGGCCTAAGTTACAAGTTTTACTTACCATCATTTCTCACACATTTCTTTGTAAAATGTTGTGAATTTGAGTCGGAGCTGTAACTTCTAGAATTTTGTAACTGATAATTCTAAAACTTTATAAATTTACTGATTTTTTCTTTTTTATTTATAAGTGATATTGACTAACTTTTTTGACTACCTTTTCAATTTCAAATGGCTATAGGTTTTCACGTGTCTTATGGCACAATTTGTTTAACTTTTATTTATGGGAAGGGGGGCAATCAGACAAAACCCAAAACAAAACAACTTAAAAAATACTGACAGAAAAAAAATGAATAAAAAATAAGAATTAAAAAAATCAAAAAAATGAATAAATAAATTATTAGATTTTTTTTTAAGTTTCATACAAAAATTTAAAATTACTATTAAGCTAAATATAAACTATCAAAACTATCATGCTCAATCACCCCTCTCAACTCCCTGTCCTCCCCTCTAAAAATCCTAAATGTATCCTAACTGTACTCATTTGTAAAATAATGTCTGACATTGTCATGTCTCAAGAAAATTCCTAAAATTTGAGTTGTGATGCTCTTAGTCAAAGAGGAAGATATTTGTAGGCAAAAAAATTGTATGTCAAATTATCCTTTATTAATTGCAACTTCAATTGGTTCTAATTTTTTTTTTAAATTTAGATGATAAGTGACAAAGAGACCAATTCTTTGCTGCCCAATGGAAAAGGAAACAATATAACTGATTACAATGCTGTCACCAAGTCAAGTATTATCACTTATCACAATATTTCATATACTGTTAAAGTGAAATTTGAGGGACAAAAGATTGACAAACCAATTCTCAAAGACTTGCAGTTAGTATCCATATCTTATTAATAATTGTGTTGAAATGTTTGTATTAAACTCACACTATATTGCATTGACCGTTTCCAACTATTTGTATGAGATTCAAAAGAAGTTCGAAGTTCCTCCAAATGACCGCTGTGACATATAGTGAAAAAAGAAGAATATTTCTCTCTGTTTTTTGTTTGTTTTAATTGTCTATTTTTTATTTTTAATACAGACTGAGAAATTATTTATCTGACTTATTGACTTCGATTTATTGACTTTATCCTTATTGACTTCTTTAATTAGACATCCACATTTATTTATTTTGTTCATTTGTTTGTTTTGTTCATTGTTTATCTATTTACCTATCTATTTTTATTTGCCTTTTTCCTATTGTTAATAGTGGCATCATGAAACCTGGTGCAAATGCAATACTTGGTCCAACAGGGAGTGGAAAGACTACGTAAGCAGCTTATAYATTATATAGTCTAGTATGGGTGATTTGAGTAGAGTATTTCATCTAGCACTGCCTCCCTTGTTTGTGGTTACCTATGACATAGTGAGACTGAGCATTATTGGTGAATGGAACTAGTTTTGTAACTGGTTTGAAATAAGGCCTTACAATGGATTACAGAATGGGTCCAATAACACATCACATGTAAAGTTTACCATACTATAGTTGCTTATAATTATCATGAACTCATTATTTTCTATAATTCATAGACATTTACTATTAAAAAAGAAGAAAAAAGTAATATTAAATAGACTTGATTTTGAATAACAACAGATGTGAACTTTTATGGATCTTGAGAGCAGGTTTGTAGAGCGAGTGAGTGGAGTGAGTGAGTGATTGTTTCCCATTCTTAGAAAGAAAGTATGTCTAATGTGAAATTTAAAAGAGCTGATGTGAGATGTTTAACTTTATATGTTTTCCAGRTTAYTGGACATTCTTGCAGGMCGTAAAGACCAAAAACATCTGTCTGGTACTGTGTTAGTGAATGGCAATTTACAGCCTGAAAATTTCAAGTGTGTTTCTGGTTATGTTGTCCAGGTATAAACAACTGMATTTSCCATATTCCAAATCTACATGCTTATGCCAGTGGTAAATGGTTTGTAGTACTTCCATGCTAGTAGAGACAATTTTCATGATTTATATGATTTTTTATGGTAATTTCATTCAGTCATTTTTTTTATATTTATTTGTCTCATTCATTTATTCCATTTGTTCATTTAACCATCCATTTTTTTCTACTTTCATTTCTGATGATCCATGTATTTATTTATTTATTTATTCAATTTCCCATTTCATTACAAGTCTTCCGTTCATTTATAAACTGCAGAATTGACAAAATGCTTTCTTACTTTTGAAATTTCGTATTCTAGTGAATAATAATTGATAATTTCTTTGAATAGGATGATGTCGTCATGGGAACATTGACAGTTCGAGAAAACCTTTATTTTTCCGCCGCTTTGCGTCTACCGCATTCCCTTACCAAATCTCAAAGACGTGCTCGAGTAAATGAAATTTTAATCGACCTTGGACTAATGGCAGTTGCTGACCAAAAAGTTGGAACAGAATTCATAAGGGGAATTTCCGGGGGAGAAAGAAAGCGAACAAGTATTGGGATGGAATTAGTGACYGCACCCTCTGTACTCTTTCTTGATGAACCTACCACTGGTTTGGATGCTTCCACGGCTTGTTCTGTCATGAATCTACTCTATGCGTATGTCAMRCCAATAGYCTTCTTCACGGTTCCCTGCGCCATCTTGAAAGGTAGCCGTGCCTTTGTATCGAAGCAAGACGAACGTTAAGGCGTGCAATGATAGAAACCTCAGTTCTTTCACACCAGACAATTATTCACACGTATCTGTCATTACACGCTCAACGGTTTATATCTCGCTACTTTTCAATATGGCACAGGGAACTATGAAGGAGACTATTTCAACCCGGATGAGGGAAATCGTGGGTAGATGACTGAGTGCCGAGTGGGCTCGTAGAATAAKCATTTTGAAAATGACGGGGCTTCTCAAATAGAATATGACCTAAAAAAGTCGTTCAATGTATATATTGCGATCGAAGAATTTCTATTGGGAAACCGCAAACATCGAACAAAAGCTACAATGCTTCTTTCTTATAATTTACTTTTAGCCATGAAACTCAGAATCCCCACTCCCTGCGGGCAAGACTCAGTAATACTTGTGTGCGATGTGCATTCCAATTTATCTGAAAGGAGCAATTTTGCGTCATTTCAAAATTAAATTCCTGGAAATTTTATTAAAAAGGATTTTTCAAGATCTTGATTGAACAAGAGGCGAGGCGTACCTTGCGCACGTTTTTCAAAAGAAAATTTGAAATCAGAACGTTTCGATCAATTATTTATTCTTTAAGGTCTGTCAGTAGATCCTTGTCGTAATCTTTTTCTTCTTTTTTTTCAGTCTCGGGAAAAAAGGAAAGACTATTATATACTCCATCCACCAACCTCGATACTCGATCTACAAGCTGTTCGATACCATGACACTGTTATCTGATGGRGAAATTGTTTACCAGGGAGACGCATCAAATGCTCTGCAATATTTTGAAAGCATTGGTAATCTTTTATGCTACTACAATGTTTACTAAACTTCAAAACGGGTTCACTGAAAACGATATTTTGCCAAAGTTATGGAAACTAATTTAGCTTGGAAGTTACTCGACTTGGAGGTCTCTCGACACGTATTTGTGAACTAATTTATAAGCTTAACATATACACCCTTTTAATAAGTCCCGAGGTATTGTGTTCTCCGCACTTGACGTCAAATTTATTCTTCTGAAATATTTACAATACAAAAGGAATTCAAAAGAATAAATTTGACGTCAAGTGCGGAGAACACAATACCTCGGGACTTATTTAAAGGGTGTATAGTGGTCCAAATAATCTGGCTCATCCTGCAATATTGGTGCTTTTCATGTTTGGAGTCAATGGTCCTCAATCTGTTTCACCTGATGACTTATCGCGCAACATAGGCTAAACTTTGAACAGTGTTGCACCACAACTTGAGATTTTTTATATMGCGTATTTTACTCCCTTTGTTTTTATGGCACTGATTTCTTCAGGTTACAAGTGCGAAGAGCACAACAACCCTCCAGATTTCTTCATGGATGTTATCAATGACAACCAAAGATACAAAGACGCGTGTGTTGTTGACTCGAAAGGTAYAGTTAATYACTTCTTGTAATTTACACCATATAGCGAAACTTAAGTGTGTTTTGCAATAATGAAAACCAAAACAATGAAATAAAATTGTAGTTTTTAGCGCTTTTTGCCATTATTGCTCGTCATTGAAGGGAAAAAATAGCATCTTGGCATTTGTGGCTCCTTTGCTTGCTTTCTTTTTCCTTGATTGCTTGCTTGCTTGATGTATTGATTAATTGATGTGTTTATTTATTGATTAATCTACTTGATTGATTGGTTGGTTGATGCGTTTACTAATTGACTAATTATTAATATCATTCTATTGACTTGTTTTTCTCTTCTAGCTAATTTTTTTGATTGCTTGGTCRAATAATTCATTTATGAATTATTTTCTGCAGATATTTGACGGACGATTAATTCATAAATAATAATAATTAACAACAACTAATGATTTAATTGATTAATCAGAGCTACCTTACTACGAAGGAGTGAAGGATCGAGGTGCCCTGGGTACGACTAATCTATTAATTAATGGGCTATTTTATATTTGTTTACTAATGAATTTGTAGTTGAGGATTGTGTATCTCGGTGCAAACAGCACTGTTGTTGGGAAGGGGAAGGGGGCGTGAAGGGGGAGGGGGTTTGGTTGTGGAATAAGTGCGCTGTTAAATTCTCTAACCAAGCTAAATATTGACGACCTTGAAGTCGAAAGAGGACCCTATTCACGGGTATATAAGAAACTCGAGGGAAGGAAGTGCTTCAACTGCCCCATGGCCAGAAAATCCGGACATTTGAGCCCGCAATCGCAGCGGTACTTCGCATAAATGCATAAAAACATGAATGTAAATTTTACAAAGAAATGTATGGATCAAAAAAAATATTTGAGAATAACATTTCATCTGTTTTAATTGGAAAAATTCCATAGATGGACTCGTAAAGGGAAACTATTCATGATTCCACTGTAGGAAATCCAAATAAATCCAATATTGTTAACAGCGTACTTTTTGACAATTTATTTTCCTTTCGTCGTCTCCCTTTGGCCTTGTATCTCATGGTGAAAATTCGCGAAGAAGCGAAATTTCACCGTGGCTGATCGTGTTCCTTTACATTTCACTGATATTCCATAGATCATTTCTCAAAGTCCACATATTGAAGTAGGAACACATCGATTTTCAGCTATTTTGAAGACGATCAACAGCGTCCATTTTGGTACTAGAAATCGTACAAAAACTAACTTGACGGTGAAATGGCTGGCGAAGACGCGTGTTTCAATCGAATAATTGGCCTCGATCTTCCATTTTCTTTTCATTTTATACGCCATGTTTGGTACCAAAATAAACCTTAGAAACGTGGCTTTCAGACTAGAACTACTTTAATTTTGGCGGTTTTTACTGGCGCCCTGCGCGCAGTGGTAAATAGCGGGAAATACGAACGAAAGATCAAGTCTACGCTATTTAGTGTAAACAATGTCAGACCTTTTAAATTCCTTACAAATGTACAGGTATAAACAAAAGATCACAATATCAACTGGTGATCATTGTTTAAAATACCTGAGGGTATTCAGCAAATGATATTATCTACACTATGAACATTCCAAACGACCATCTTACAAGCCACTAATGAACTCAAGGATC